GGAAAGTTGTGACTTTTCAATTTGGGACTAACTTTTCCTACTCAAATTTCAACACAAATTATAGAATTAAGAGCTTAATGAGTAAAATAAAACAAATTTTTTCTATTTCTTAACGGGTTTATTTGTTATCAACTTGAACACTCAATTTTTCGTTTGTGTTCATGTCATGTTACCAAATCCCATACAATGTTGCAGCTCTAGAGTGTTATTGAGCTTGTTATTCTAGCTAAATTTGGCAGAAAGGGTATTTATGAATCTAGTTTGTCACTTATGAACACTTGTGGAGCCAAAAAAGAAAAGAAAACATTAATTTCCCACAGCATCGGATACTCTTTATATAGGCCAGTCAGTTGACCCTTGTCGATTGACCTACAATCTGTTTGGCATTGCCTGAAAACCTGACTTGGACAAGGCCTTTTAGCCTATTGTCTCCAATTCTAGAATTTAGGGAACAAACCACAAGGTTGGCATTTAACTTCTGCATAGCTAGCTCTAGCTAGGGTACGGTTGCGTTGTGCAGGTGCAGGGAGAAGGTTGCAAGGGCACAGAAAAAAATTAAATTTAAAAAAAAAAAAGAATTTATTATAATCACCACAATAACCTTCTACTGTCACACATCATATCTTGAATGCTGAGGCATTTTGGTCAGTTTGATGGAGATTGTTACAGTAACCAAAAGATACGAGAGTGGCCCAGTGGAGCAGAGAGTGATGTATCGTATATATGGTGATGGGCCATGTACCCCCAAGAGATAAGGAAAATCCAAAAATAATATTTTAAATAAATTTCATAAAAGCTGTTCACAGGTCTTGTAATTATTTTGTGGTTCATAATTTCAGCTCGGTGGCATTTATTTTAATTTTACTTTGTAATTATTTTGATGAAATTTGTCATTTTGAACTCCTTTTACTTATAAATTAATTTAATTTTTTACTATTATTTATATATAAAAAAACATATATGGGTGACACTTGTAATAATGCCAAATTAATTATTTTTCCATAGTCAAATACAAGGACCAATACAGAGTAATTGAATTAAAAAAAGAGAAATAAAATAAAGAAGACAAGGAGAAGGTTGCTAGGGCACAGAAAAAAATTAAATTTAAAAAAAAAAAAAGAATTTATTATAATCACCACAATAACCTTCTACTGTCACACATCAGATCTTGAATGCTGAGGCATTTTGGTCAGTTTGATGGAGATTGTTACAGTAAGCAAAAGATACGAGAGTGGCCCAGTGGAGCAGAGCGTGATGTATCGTATATATGGTGATGGGCCATGTACCCCCAAGAGATAAGGAAAATCCAAAAATAATATTTTAAATAAATTTCATAAAAGCTGTTCACAGGTCTTGTAATTATTTTGTGGTTCATAATTTCAGCTCGGTGGCATTTATTTTAATTTTACTTTGTAATTATTTTGATGAAATTTGTCATTTTGAACTCCTTTTACTTATAAATTAATTTAATTTTTTACTATTATTTATATATAAAAAAACATATATGGGTGACACTTGTAATAATGCCAAATTAATTATTTTTCCATAGTCAAATACAAGGACCAATACAGAGTAATTGAATTAAAAAAAGAGAAATAAAATAAAGAAGACAAGAAAAGCTCATCACAGAAATGAAAGCATGCTAAAAGCTAGATCAGGATTCAGAAGTTCGTTACAAATTTATGTACATTGTATAATATAATATTTCTAAGTGTAGAGATTTAATGGTGACAACAACACCAGACACATTCCTGTTTGTGGATAAGAACGCGTACATGGGATAACATTGTTTTGCTGTTCTCAAATATTCGCCTTTTGTCGTGTGAAAAATTTATCACAAGTGTCGAAACATAATTCGTTGAGAATAACAAAACAGTGCTATCTCCGTGATATACAAGTTTTTCTCCTATTTGTTTCTAAAGAATTAATGCCCTCACCCCTGAAACAAAATTACAAAAATCCCAAATCACAACTGAAAAATCACAAATCAATTGTAGTTTACAAATCTAAACGAAACCCAGCTCCATTTTGACATGAAATTTCCCCATGGAACTTGAAGTAGCTCAAGGGTTGAAGAAGTGATCACCACAGTGGCATTTCCAACCCAGAGGCTTGTAATTGGAGTACTTGTTGTTGGAACCCGGATGAGATGGGTCGAAGAACATCATTGGAAAGGATCGGGCCATGCCCGGTTCGACCCGATCGTGGCTGGGTATTGTAGGCACCTGGACCGCCATGCATGGATGGCACTGGTTGCACTTGTTGTGGCAGCTGGGCGGCGTGGATCCCAGCCTGGTTTTCTCCTCAAATAAAAGGCCCTGCAGAATGAGCACAACAAGTGCAATTTAATCAAAGAAATTAGGAAATATATTTTGTAGTAAATTGAAGATTAGTTGAACTTGAAGGGTTAAATAATTTGTTCTTACCCGGAGAGAATGAGTGCTAAAACAAGAGGCTGGAGAGAGAAGAAGAAAATGCAGAAGCATAATGGCTCTGGTGGCTTTGAAGAGAAGATAAACTGGATTATTCATGGTGATGAAAATGCACCTGTCACCATGAAGTCATCCACCAAATTGAAACAGAAGCCTTGAAAATGAAATTTTAAAAATAAAAAAAAACAGTAGAGACCCAAGAAGCAACAAATTAACTGAGAGAGAGAGAGAGAGAAGAGGTTTAGGGTTAAATCTGTGTAGGGCTTGGATAAAAGCAAGGTAGGAACAGGAGGTGAATAAATGGGGGTGGTGTGGTCTGTGAGAGAGAGAGAGAGAGAGAGAGAGAGAGAGAGATGCAGAAGGGGAGCAGAAGAGTGAAAGGAACAATACGAAAAAGGAATAACAAGTTTACTGTTGTACAAGTCTAAAGCCTGCCTTATCTGCAGCAAATTTACTGTTGTAATTTTAAAACAAATTTACTGTTGTAAAAAATCAAGGGATCGAAGAGGAGGCAGTGGAATTATTAATTACTAGTTCCATTGAAACATTCAATGAATCTGGTTCTCTCCTCCGTCTAGCAGTCAGATGAGGTTTGACTGCAGTTGCCATTGTAATAATAGGGTTCCTTGTAGATTGAATGAAATTTTTTCAAAGAAAATACTTGCCTTCTTCCTGGAAGTATGAACTCCTATTTTTCTGCTAATTACAAGTTGACATGCGTGTAGAGATTTTCCATTTAGTATTTTTAATGAATTATTTTTGCATATATGTCAAATTGTGATTTGCAAGAAATAAGAATCCCTTTTTCTTTTTTTTTTGAACCACGAGGTGGTCCTGGATGGGCCCCAACTATGAGTGGCACCTTTAAGCCTTAACCACAACTCAGACTAATCCCCGCTCACACCGGGTCGGCCCGTAAGGGGTAAAGTGCTGGCC